TGCGGGGAGGGGGGGGGCTGCCCTGGCTTCCAGGGGGGGGCAGCAGCAGGAGCCGGCAGGGAGGGGCCAGGGGCCAGAGGGGTCCCCGCAGCACGGGGGATGCTCCCGGGACAGAGGAGCCCCGGAGCGGGTGGAGGAGGAGGAGGAGGAGGGGGAGGAGGAGGTGGGTGCTCCAGGCGAGAAGGGGGCGTCAAGTGGCACATGTTCTCGGGGGTCATGGTCCTGAGCAGGTGAGGATCTTGGAAGAGAGAAAAGAGTTAGAGCTGTTATCAGAAAATCACAGGATCTGAGGGGTTGGAAGGGACCTGGGAAGATCCCCCAGCCCAGCCCCCCTGCCAGAGCAGGGGCACCCAGAGCACATCACACAGGATCCAGGGGGGTTGGAATGTCTCCAGAGAAGGAGACTCCACAGCCTCTCTGGGCAGCCTGGCCCAGGGCTCTGTCACTCTCACAGCAAAGAAGTTCTTCCTGATGTTCACATGGCGCCTCCTGTGCTCCAGTTTGCACCCACTGCCCCTTGTCCTGTCACTGGACACCACTGCACAAAGCCTGGCTCTGCCCTCCTGACACTGCCCTGAACAGATCTGTGCCCATGGATGAGGTGGCCCCTCAGTCTCCTCTTCTCCGAGCCCAACAGCCCCAGCTCCCTCAGCCTTTCCTCAGCAGGGAGATGTTCCCCTCCCTCCAGCATCTCTGTGCCTCTGCCCTGGGCTCTCTCAAGCAGTTCCCTGTCCTTCTGGAACTGAGGGGCCCAGAACTGGACACAATACTCCAGATGTGGCCTCACCAAGGCAGAACAGAGGGGCAGGAGAACCTCCCTTGACCTACCAACCCCCCCCCTTTCTAATGCACCCCAGGAGGCCATTGGCCTTCTTGGCCACAAGGGCACATTGTTGTTTATGGTCATTTTTTTGGTTTTTAGGATCAAATCCTTCCCCCAAAGGGCTGTCAGACCCTGGCCCAGGCTGCCCAGGGAGTCCCCATCCCTGGAGATGGTGCTGGGGGCCATGGGGCAGGGGTGGCCTGGGCAGGGCTGGGGGAGCAGGTGGGCTGGAGGGTCTTAGAAGTCTTTTCCAACCCCAGCAAGTCCACGACTCCCTGCTGAGGCCAGAAGGCAGGGCCATGCACAGCACAGGCACAGCTCTGCTCTCCCCTCCTGCTCCTGGTTATCTCCCCCAGCTGGGCTGTGTCCTCTCAGCCACCTCACCCTGCACTGACTTCTCCTCCCAGGCTCCTCAACAGCTCCTACATCCCACAGGCACCTCCAGGGCTCCCCTGGAGAGACCCAGAGCAGTGGTGACTTCTTGCTGCCAGCCTGGGCTGCCAACTTCACCCACACTTTGCCCAAGTGGCACCTGCAGAGCAAGGACACACAGCAGGGTCACACACCACAAACCCAGGGGTCCTGCACCAGGGATCTTCTGAGAGGAGCTGGAAGGGGTGATCACCAAGGAAGCAGGCAAGGCCCAGCACCTCCAAGCTCAAAGCACCAAAACTCCAAAGGTCCTCAGGCTGAGGGACAGCAGGGAAGATTCCCAGCAACATTCCTGGTATTTCCTAAATGTCCTCGGGAGCACACATGGTGCCTGGTTTTGGGAATCCCCAGGCAGCTTTTCCAACAGAAGACCCACCAACTACAATGCTCCTGTGGCACCAAGGACCTGCATGGACCAAGGAAGCCCAGCTGGGGGCCAAGGTCCAACAGCCAACACCTGGGGCTGAAGCCAGTGCCTGGAAATGCAAAGCTGGAGAGAAAGCACCTGAAACAGCCTCATTTTCCTGACTCCTGACCCAAGGCAGTGTCTTCTGGGGGCAAAGAAACCCAACTGGTGATGCCAGAGATGCTCAGAGCTGTGGGCCACAACCCCCTGGCCAAGGAACCAGGCTCTCAGCCACCACACAAAGGACACCTCCTGGGATCTCCTCCGAGAGCAGGGACAGCAATGGGGACAACTCGAGGAGAGGCAACTGAATGACCTGAGCACCTCCAGCCCAGCAGCATCACCTGGGAGGGCTCCTGTGGAGCCACTTGCTTGTTTTGTTTGGTGCTGAAATTGGAACAAGAGGGAGACTTTGACCTCGGAATTTAAATAAACAAAAAAGGACATTCAAATCCAACCCCACCTCCCTCCCCCTCTGTTTGGACTTGGGTACAAATGCCACGATTAGGCTCCATTTGACTAGATTGCCACCCAAAGACACGTCTGGTGTGTGGAGAGCCATGCAAATCCAGCCCTGTCTGCAGCTGCTTGGGCCTCCAGGTCCTCAAGCCCAGTGCTCAGCTGAGGGCTTCAACCAAACCATTTCCAGGTTCACCTGGAGAACTGTCCCATTCTGAAGCCCCCAACACAAGAAGGACATGGAGCTCCTGGAGAGAGTGCAGAGGAGGGCATGGAGATGATCCAAGGGCTGGAGCAGCTCTGGAGCCAGGCTGGGAGAGTTGGGGGGTTCAGGCTGGAGAAGAGAAGGCTCCAGGGAGACCTTAGAGCAGCTTCCAGTGCCTGAAGGGGCTCCAGGAAAGCTGGGGAGGGGCTTGGGACAAGGGCAGGGAGGGATGGGATGAGGGGGAATGGATTAAAACTGGAAGAGGGAGATGGAGGTTGGACATGAGGAGGAAATTCTTCCCTGTGAGGATGGTGAGACCCTGGCCCAGGTTGCCCAGGGGAGCTGTGGCTGCCCCATCCCTGGCAGTGTTGAAGGGCAGGTGGGATGGGGCTTGGAGCAGCCTGGGCTGGTGGGAGGTGTCCCTGCCCATGTAGGGGGGTTGGATCTGGATGATTTTGAAGGTCCTTTCCAACCCAAACCAGTCTGGGCTTCTGTGACCTTTGGAGAGCAAAAACCAAAGGGTATGAAATGGAGCCACATGGTTCCATCTCCCCCCAGACACCCAGAGACTGCCCAGAAATCAGTGACTCAACCAAAGGGAACAACAAGAACCACCTTCCCTGCTCTCCAGGCTCAGGTGCTCTCCTGGCACTGCCTGCAGCTCCCAGGGACTGGTCACACCAGTGACCCCACCAAGTGAAGCCTTTAACTGTGAGCAGAACTCAGCCACGAGGACACCACTGAGTGCCTGCTCCAAACCTCCTGGGAATCATCAGCCTTGGCCTCATTTCAAGCAGCTTCTTTTTAGGTTCTGATCCTCCCTAAGAAGGAGGGAGCTGGTGATGTGAGCAAGAAGAAGGCAAAGATCTGAGGCTGAGGAACTGCTGGGCTCATGGTTGGATGTGATGGTCTTAAAGGTCTTTTCCAAGCAAAATGATTCCATGGTTCTATGAGATCATTTATTCCAGCTTCTCTGGCCCCACTGAAGAAGCTGGAAAGGGGAGGAAGAAGCTGGAAAGGGGAGGAAGAAGCTGGAAAGGGGAGGAAGAAGCTGGAAAGGGGAGGAAGAAGCTGGAAAGGGGAGGAAGAAGCTGGAAAGGGGAGGAAGAAGCTGGAAAGGGGAGGAAGAAGCTGGAAAGGGGAGGAAGGTGTAAGGAGGAGGAAGAAGCTGGAAAGAGGAGGAACTTTCCACCTGGGACCTGCTTCTCCAGCACAATCAAGCCCTTCCACAGGCAGATTCTCCAAGTGGAGAAGAGCAATGGAAAAACTAAAGGAAAATGAGAAGAATGGTCACCAACTTCAGCACCAGGCATGGGAGGAATGAGGTGACAAAGACCACGAGGAGGATCTAGGCCAGGACACCTGGGCACAGACAAAGCTCACTATAAAACTGGAGGATGGCACATGTGAGCGCCTTTTTGGCCCAGTGCTCACTGAAGGTGTCAGGCTGAGAACATCAGGAGCTGCAAGGAATGTTCCTGGGAAAACCTCCCAAGGGAACGTGAGTGAACATCCTGGCTGTAGGTGAGTGGGAACCTGAGACACCACCAGGCAGCTCCTGGAGAAGCAGGTCACAGGAGCCTCACATGGAAGTCCAGCATTCCTCCTGCAGGGAAGTTCTTCCCTCCCACCCCAGCGTGAAAGAAGAGCAACAAGATCAACCAGACTCATGTCACCCCCCTGAGAACTCCCCTGAGTCCCACATCTGGGCCAAAACAAAGCCCCCTCAGACAGGCTTGGGCCACCACCTGGACACAGGTCAGGAGCTGATGCCCAAGCAAAGCACATCCCTGAAGAGCAAGTGGAAGAGGAAGGTCCTGGCAGTGACAGGACGTGTGGTTCTCAGCATGGGAGATCTTTGATGGGTCTCCCTGCCCATGGGAGGTAGGAAGGACCACAGCCTGGTGCCCA